GTTATCTGCTAGACTCTAGACTATTATCTTCTTCATTACCCTTTTTAGTGAGCTCCAATAAAGAGGGACTAAGGGGAGCAAAGGAGGGAGGGAAGAAAAGGCAGAAATGTAGAGGCCAAGTTGAGGGTGAGAAAATGGTCAAAAGTGGACAACAAAGTTGACAAGAGAAAGAAACAAAAAAGAGATTGAGCAACAAGCTGCGGGAGCGAGACTAAACAAGCAATACATAAATCAATGAAATATTAAAGGTAAATGATGAAATGATCCCACCAATAGAATACATTTCATATTCATGTAATGTTACCTACCATAAACTAATGTAGGGATTGTAATATGATATTACATTTGGGGTTTTTAAGAAATCGGAAATAAACACACATATGCAGAGACTTCAACCACATATAAAAGAGGACAAATGTACAGTAGATTTGATAATCATAAAGCTTATTCTATCTTTTTGTTAAAATAAAATGCAGTAAAAGAAACTGTAAAAAGGAAAATAAATATATAAAAGTTATTGTCAGTGTCTCCAAGGTGTAAAAATAAAAAAGTCAGGAAAGAGTCAGAGTCAGGAAAGGGTGTGCGAGAGTTGCATTTGAGTTTTTACATCTTTTTCATGCCGGTGAAATATGTGTGAGCGTGTATGTTTGTACATGTGTGCGAGTGAAGTGAGTCAGAGGAAGGTGTGTGTGATGTCAAGCCCAGACAGGCTCTGCTGTGGTCCAAGTTCACGTTGCTGTCAGGTGGTAGTGGTTAGTTAACTGAGCTGGTAATTACCTCAGACTGTCGGGCTGAGACACTGGCCAGATACCCTCAGGATACTGTGGGAAAGTACATTCACTGCAGTATTACCCTCATGTTCCTGCTGCAGAAAAAAAAGTCCCCTTCTCCAGGTGTTTAGGTACAGTATATAAAGGAAGAAATTCTTTTTAAAAGGATCTTCTAAACTATTTTTAAAAAATGGACAAGATGTGCAAATGACTAGTAGCACATTGCTTGTGCAGTAAAATTACATTATACAGTGTTTACACAAATTCCAATGAACAATACAGATACAGCCCTCCTAAATTTACTAAATAAATTACCCTCTTCTTATCATTCAGTTTCAACATGAAAAAAATGGTTGCAATCGTCTAACTTCACTATAATTTGGCTGCGTTTCAAAATCTGATTGTATCTTATTGCAAATATAAGTAGTAATGTTTTTAACTGCATGGATTGATATGTATATATGTAGGTAGATAGAAGGTGACATGATAAAATATTCGACCAAGTTCAAACCTATAGTAGGACGTTGTGGTTACTGAATCATAAGATTATCTCGTACATTTTAACTCAAGTCATCCAGTACGTGTTTTATCAGCAGAGAGAATTTTGTGACTCTCTCACCTCTTTGGTCTCCGGCGTTACACTGCAAACTGCCGACTGGCATTCAGGCTTAATTTTCCACTCAAAGATAACTTGATTTAATGTTTAACTCTGAAATGATGTCAGCTTTCTCAGTGGGAGAGTGCTAAATTATGTATGCTGTTTCCACTTCTTTCTCCCTCCTTCTGTCCAGCCAAGGAAAATGAAAACAGGTCACTTTTCTGCAGTTTGCATCTGTCAGTTAAAGTCAAATATGAGATTGTCCGTCGCTGTTGGAAGGTGTCCAAATCAGCTAGCATGACATTGGGACTGCGTGGGAAAGCATGGAAAAAGGTTAAAGCTTTTGGCCAGTTAGCTTCTCCTTACTCATCACTTCTGTGTTAGTATGAAGCTGCTTTTTCCAGTTCAGCTTGCCATCCCACTTACAATTGAGTTACATCATTTCACAGTGGCAACAGAATGACAGGGAACCAGAGATGGCAGAACGTCCCAGACATGGGATGGGAGCAAACAATGAATCTCGGGTATTTCATGTTTTATTTTTATTTTCTTGGAAGGGATACTGTTGAAGAAAGATGTTCTTTTCTTATACACTGTGTGTATTTTTTAGACCACATCTTGTACAGTGGGATTAAGTATATTTACCCTTTAACTTGGACTCAAAATTCACATTGAGAATGAAAAGACAGCATTTTCAAAGGGAAACGATGGTGCAATCCTTACTCCCCTCTCCCGCGTCTTCTCTCCAGTTCCCACGGTACCCCTTACCTGACTAACCACAATTTGAATCAAATCACTAGCGGCCAATTGGCTGCTCTGACCATGTGACCTACATCGGCCCTAAAAAGCACCGCCTTTTGAGATTGGTCTAGGATTTTCCCATGGGAGCTGCCTACAGAGCCAGTGCAGTGTGAGCGTGTGTGTGTGTGTGTGTGTGTGTGTGTGTGTTTGAGAACGTTAGGGAAAAATCTCCCACCCCCCCTCCTCCTCTCTTTCCTACCTCCTCTCCACTATCCCCCTTTCTCTCCTCTTTTTTCCACCACCTCCCATCCTTTGAAACACAGTATCACACTTTAGATAGCCTTTGTTGTCACGGCAAGGAGCATTCTTTCTCTGGCACGGCCACACGGAGTGTGAGAATGCAGGAGGTTCCCTGAAAAGCACAGGAAGAACAAAAGACAGACAGTAAGGAAATGCAGCCATGTAGCAACTGCCTGAAACTTTAGAGAATGAAATAAATAAACATATGAATAATGTTTTGGTTTTCTGGTTACATTTTTGGTGGCCAACTTAAAGCCAGTATTGGAATATAATTTGGCATGTTTGCAAATGCTGTTGAACTGTGAAGAAGGAAGAAGAATCCACAGTCAGTGCACTCATTCAATGCCATAGGGAGAAGCTTGTGAGTTGCGGTTAGTGAAGACGTGTACCCGAAAGACATGTTTAATACACAATCAATAACACAGTACAGGCTGGCTGCAGGCATGAGTTCTATAAAAACTCCCAAAAGTCCAGCTGACCAACCGGCACAGACTGCTGACTGAAGCCACATGCCGTGCTTCTTGATGATCACAAACATGATATTTTGCCTGTGCAAACGTGCCAAATTTAAATTGGTTTGACAATACTGTCAGCCCAAGTCTCTCTGTGTTGCTACACATGCAGGAGCTGCAGAGACAGAACCTTCATACCTTTGTGCTTCTTAGGCTCTCTGTGACAACTGCATTGACTGCATTGTCTGAAAACTAGCACTCAAGTGGTGCTGTGGAAAAATCAAGCCTTCATGTCCTGCAGCAAGCCAAAAACAGGAAAAATGTTACTTTAAATCATCCGGTCCGAGTCAAAACTTAGATGAAGGAACAAACCCACCATCTGGATTTATTCAAAATATATAAAGCACTGCAAGATCTCACCAAGTTCATTTTGTCCATTTCCTTCAAGAACCACTATTGCACTTAAAGCACTGACAAATGCCTTTTACCTGCTTATCTGTTAATATCAATGCGACATTTGTAAATGGACCCCCATAACTTCTTAATAGATCTCTGCAGGATCTTTGCATTTGAAACTAGCTGTGTTTGGATTAATTGTAGATCAATTTATTTTCATCCAGGTTGCGTGTGTGTGGGACGGTTGTGCGTGTGTGCCTGCCGGTCCGTGAATTAGCCTTGAGAGTTCAGAGCAGGTTCTGGCTTGCTCAACTCTGGGAAACTTTGAGCTGAGCAAATAGCTGGGTCTGTTTTCCTGGCTGCCACCACACTTGTATGTGTGAGCCATGTGTGTATGCACTGTGAGCACTTATATGCATGCGGTTTATGTGCACTGTAGTGTATCCTGTGCCAATTGTAAACCATCTTTGTGGTTAGTTTTTGTGCGTTTGTGTGTGTATGGCAGAGTACATAAAAAAGAGAATACTGAATGTACTGAGGCAGAGATGAGCCTCATTCCCACAGGCAAGGCTGTAGATGACACCTCTGCTATTCCCACACCTCCACTGTCTCGCTGCTTTCTCCTGTCCTGACCTCCGTTACCGCAGAGGCAAACATCGCTCTGCATGTGCACACTGAGGAGCAGACATACCTTTTCTGATTTGCAGTCCTCATTAAACTTTTCCCGGGTGGAGAGAGACAAGTTGGCCTTAAGTGAGCTAGTCAAGAATCCCTTGCTTTGTGATGTCTGAGAGTGTAGTTTGATTTACAGCCCACCTCTAGGTGGAATGCTGTTTGCTGGGTGGAGCTCAGGTGTGTTGACAAGGCTTTTAGCACTGACATGCTGTCAGGATGGCTTACAGACGAGTGTGTGTGTGCACGTTAGGGGCCGGCGAACAAGAGGTCACTAATGTCCCACCAGGAAGACCTTTACCATGGAGAAGGACAGGACAGCATGGAAGTGTGAACGTTGCGGAGGCGTAAATGCTGTCTCTACACACACACACTCACACATTGATCTGATCTGTCTGTGACACTTGGGCTCTTTCACACCAAAGCAGCCACCGGGGAAACATGTCTGTTTGCCATTGGTGTGAATGGATCAACACCAAGTTTTCAAGCTCTGCCATTGTGGTCTACACCTAGTTCAAACATAGGTCTGAGTCTTTTTTCGACTTGAACAGGTGAACAGGTTACCATAGTTACCACAGCATTACTAATATATGACAGAGAGGGGTAAAAGTCGCTGTATGCTGCAGTACAACTGAGGGGATCAGTATGTTTCAAGCAGAGTGCATGTCGGATTGTTGGACATCGTAAGAAACCTCCCCACATCTTTCTCACATCTACCTTTCACCAGCTCCAACAGAAGTTGGCGTGGCCTTTTCATCTTTTCATACTTTTGTTAAACATTATGAAATTTAAATAATACAAATTATTGCTGGTTTTATAACAACTTTGCCATGGCAATGGAAATAATTGGTCAAGATAAAAGAACAAAATGTGGCACAACATTAAAATTAAAGCATTTTTCCTTTGCAGAACTTGTTGTCCCATTTAACTCTTACAACCCAAGCAATCTAACAGACAGTGTAAAGGAGACAGTAGAAATACATTTTGGGGAAAACTCCACCTCTGAGACATTTTTTCGACTTAAAAACACTTAAACCTGCTGCTAATGACAGTTTTTATCCGTTTTTCCAGGCTTGTAACAGCGATCAGTATGTGGCGATACCCAGAGAGGACATGGTCAAGATGCTTAATGAGAAAGGTCAGTCAAACTACATCGTATCATCGAAGAGGGTTAATTTTTAGTGGACTCCTTATGATGTAGAGCAGAATACTTAAAACATGTCTTTGTGTAGTTTTAAGACTCTCTATGACTCACTTGATTTTGACTGTTCAAGAATAAACTAAATTTTACTATTTTGTTTGTAGGATTTTTGCAGGACCAGGACAACACTGGCCACACACAACAACAGGATGCGGAGATAACCCCCAGTGTGACCCCTGACCTCCCCAGGTATGCCCTTCAGTGTCAATGGGCCCCCCTTTCACGTCTGGATCCCGACACCCTGACCTTTCCCGGGGGCGCACCCATACAGCTCCACACCGTGCCCCCCGGCCTCCTGCCAAGGATACCGCTCTTCTACGTCTGCACCAGATGTGGCAAGGTGTTCTGGGAAGGCTCTCACTTCGACCGTGTCCTTTCCATGTTTCAAGAGGTCTTGCACATATCAGACACTGAATCAGCGGCGGCAGCCATTACAGTGGATTAACAGAACTGACTGATACAGAGCTACTACAGTTTATCTGAAAAAACCCTGATGATTGTTTCATATTGAATAATTGTGTTTTTTAATTTCAGTTTTAATTGTTTTTTTTTGGTTTTTTTAATATGATGGATGACGGCTCTATTTTCACATCTTTTGTCAGCCCAGCGTTCTTTTCAGATGTGTGATGTTTAAACGGTTTAAAACACAGAGAACCAAAGAATGTTGTGAATTGATGAATTTTTGTTGTTGATGGTACTGACGGTTATACCATGGCACAGTCATGGTGATTTAATGTTCAGATCCTATTGAGATTATTTGAAATGTAATACGTTTATTCTTCCAGACTGATTTTACTCAGCAGGGAATTATATCATCCCAAGTAGGTGCGTCAATGTTTTCTAGGGTCACGTTTTTGTGACACTTTTTTGTTGTTTTAAAAGCTGCTGTTAAATAATGACAGGGCTTCTTTTTTAGCAGTTTGTGGTACAATCATTCTCTGTGATTGCATTTGAATAATTATTTATCTGGAAGTTGAATAAAAAGAAATCCTCAAGATGTCCTGGTGCTCATTCTTGTTAGATTTGACGCAATGGAAGAATTTTATTGGTACCATTTTGTGGCGACTAATGATAAGAAGGTGACTTGTTGCATTTTTGCATGTCATTTCTTTTCAGGGCACAGGTACCATTTAGAAAAGAAATGCCTCACATGTGCTACCACGGCAAGACAGGGCGTGTCTACAATATAACCCAACATGCTTTCTGCATCATTGCTGACAAGCAGGTCAAATAAGTATAAAGTGGCATTTATTGGGACATATCTGAATATGTATGCTTGTGTCACTTTGGGCTGACACACACCAAAGGACTTAAAACTCGTACAAACATTCTCAAACATATAAGAACTTACTTTTGTTCTTCCTTCAGGTCCTCATTGTTGGCTAATATACCTGATCTAGAAGGAGGGATGTAACCCCATCTTCACTTTGCCACCAGGGCTGTTTATGTCCTGAGTGGGGGATAGTTTTTGATCCTTAAGCTCTTCAGTCTAACTCCTGTTTGACCTGTGGTTGTAAAGTAACAGCAATAATTTGAATTTCCAGCTAAGCTACCTGGCAATTTGTTTTGATTTATCTGTCTGATACGAACTCATTAATGCATTCAGCTCTCACCGGGGCAAGATCACGGCTAAGGGGATTAACATACGCATTGAGCATGTGAAGGACTCAAAGAGCAGGGACCGCTGGGTGGTTTATTAACTGCCGCTTTAGTGTTAATAAAGAGGCTTTTATTTAATTTATAAATCTGTGAGTGAAGTTATAACACTTTCTGTCAGTCAGTAAGTTTGTTTCAAAATTCACAAAACAGATGGTCAGGGACTGAGAGAGGACAGATTGATGAGATCATCTAAGCTTCACTGATGTCTGTCAGGTGTAACAGTGTGGGGGTTTCCTGCCCCGAGGCTGAAGAGCAGACAGGTCACAGAGTAGCCCAACACATACACAGCCTGAATCCCTTCATATTTTCTCATACCTTTCTTTCTAACCCCTCCTTTCCGCTGTTCACAAATCCCACATTGGATTTGTGTGATTATAGAAAATGTGATTGCCCAAAAGGGTTTTAAGAGATCTAATGTGGAAAAGTCTGTAATTAAAGGTGTTCTGGTGGTTTTGGGACATAGTACGTAGTATGCATTTTTTTGAGACTACATTGGAAGAGTTTTATACTCATAAAATCTAGGAAACTCTAACCACAACCAGATGTGCACTTTATTTAACTGATCACTTAACATGCATCAAAAAAGCCACAGTGATTTCCAAAGACAGGTCATACTGTGAATCACTGCTGTAAATGTGTTTTCAATGACTGTTTGAGTCACAGCAGCAGCAGTAGGGAAGTCAGGGACTTATCTTGATGCTTCTTTTTTTAATGTTTAATGTATTAAGTGAAAGCAATCTCTCCACAACATGCGTGCTATAACCTGATATAGCATGTGTCATACCTTTTAATTACCACATTGAGGTAACAGATGTAAAGTGTTTAATATGTGTAAGCTAAAATGTGTACGCTTTATTCCAAGAAATAGTGGAAATAAATATTACTTTGGAAGGAAGTGTTATTCAACTAAAGGTCCCAAATCAGTTAGGGGTATTTAATTTGGAGGAAGTGGGCCTTTTCCTCTAAGGACTTACAGTATGTGTCACTTCTGAAGAAAAGCATACAAAAGCGGGTGTCTGTGGCCATGGCTAAGTGTTTCGAGTTCATTGTTTCGAGTGCTTGGCGAGCCTCAAGCAGAGCATCATGTGATGATATGATATGCTTTAGAGTAATTCTTAAAGTTAAAACTGTTTGCACTAAAGCATAGGCCTGTTGTGAATCTTGTAATATACTCCACCATCTATTGTACTGGTACCACTCTCTAACAAAAAGGGTTTATATGTTATAATTTATGTCACTGTTAGTAATAATTATTAATGCTTTATAGATCGGTTATAAGCCACAACTTTTGGGTTGCCAGGTTGTTTAAAGTCTCTGTTCTATATGCTCCTCCAGCATGACTCTTTCTTATATATATATAAAAAAAGATATTAAAAAAAAGCTTTGGAGAGGATATTGTTATGTTTGGACAGAGCCAGGCTAGCTGTTTCCCCCTGTTTCCAGTCTTTATGCTAAGCTAAGCTCACTGGCTGATAGCTATAGCTAAGTGTGACCTTATGAGAGTGGTCTTGATCTTCTCATCTAACTCTCAGGAAGAAAGAAAATAAGTGTATTTCCCTGAATGTTCCTCAAATCCTCCTAGCCCGACAATCTGACTTGTTCTTATGTTTTTGTTCCTATTTGAATCGCTGAAAGAAATTGGAGAGGTGGGCAGCCATTCACAGGTCTGCACCAGGCTAGAGTCTTCCTGAAAGACAAACACAGTGGCATGCTGGGGGAGGATAAACACCAGTCAATGGCTTTTTTTAAAAAAAATGTTTTACAAGATGGACACCCAAAGGTTTTTATTATCTTAAAACTGATCACGGTAGTTAGAGATTATAAACCCTTTATAAAGGTTGCCTTAAAAGCTTCACCAGAGTATTGGACTCAGCTGGCGTTTATACCAAATACAAAGTGAATACCAAAGCAACACCTTCAAACTTAAAGTCGTCATTATATTCGTTAAAATATTCAGTTGTACTTCATTCATGCATTTAGATAAACGGAACAGATTACCATCTCCATATTAAAGTATTTAAATACAGACTTTCAGGTGTGGAAAAAGTTTGATGATAAACTCAAAGCATGACTGATCTTGTCAGGAGTAGATGGCCGTTGAGATCAATCTGGAGAGGAGACTGGCCTAATTCTTGAGTGCTGGTTAAATTAGAGGGAATAATCTCTACATCCGCACAATGGGGGTTGAATGAGACGTCAATTTTTTGCAGTTGCTCCTAATAAATATAGTTTTACAAAAGATCTATTTCTTCTGAAACACACATCATGGAACACCAAAAATCCTACGGCGTATTTCCGTGCGCTTTTTTTTTTCTTTCTTTCTTTTTTTGGAGCAGGCTGTATAATAACTACAGTAACATTAATCTGCCCTGAAGTAGTTTTATTGCTATGAATGAAGTCGACACCCTAGCTCCCAAATAAGCCCCTCTCTGTGTGTCTTGTCCCGTCCTTGTCCGGGTGGTCGCAGCCCCTGCCTCTGCGCAGAGCGCGAGCTTTCTGCCGCAGCACCATGTTATTTGATCCTTGCTCTTTCTTTGCTGGGAAGAAAAGCTCGCCTCTTTCCCACGCTCTGAGGACACGTGGTGCCCGGAATGAATTGGCTTCAGAAGGCCCTCCCTCCTGATAAAACGTCACCTCTCTCTCTCTCTCTCTCTCTCTCTCTCTCTCTCTCTCTCTCTCTCTCTCTCTCTCACACACACACACACACACACACACACACACACACACACACACACAATACACACTCACACACATATACGCACACACAGACTGGGTTTACCTCAACATGCTTTCTGACGTGAATGTAAAAGAACAGTGTTTTTTCCTTGGTACATCCCAGTATATATGTGCGTTTTTTTTTCCTGGACTCCTTTCCTCTTCTGGGGCATTCATTCGCGCAACATGTCTTAACGGGGACGGGCAGGCGGCTCTGCTCCCGTCACGTCTGGCCCCTGCCGCCCCGGGTGTGGGCGCCAAAACCCGGCACAGCGCACGGATCTTCCTCGATGTATTACAAGCAACAGCAACAAAACACTATATGCGACTCTGGGTTGTTTCTGTGTGGCTGGGAAAGTCTTGTCCATCAACACACAGCAACAGAACAGAGATATGGCTGTAAAAATAGAACTAGGATAGACTTTGTTATCCTGGAGTGAACCGTTTCCATTTATGAGTTTGATGAGAATTGGCCCCAGTGCAGCCTCTGAGCCAATACGACCTCTCTCGGGTTAACTGCACAACACCTGACTACCCCCCTAGATTTTTGGAGATCAATTATTACAAAATATGATTGTGATTGGCTTGCGCTTTTACGCATGCATGGAATGCGTTGGTTGCTGAAGTTTCGCCTTTACACTGTTAATAATTCAAATGTCAAAGAGAAATTCAGAGATTGTAAAAGTATTCCACCGCTGCTTTAAAGTTTATTTACACATTGTCTAGTTTTGGCTGCTTCCAGGACACACATTACCAAGGAAAGACTCAGGAGCGAAGTGGTGGTGGTGGTGGGGGGAGAGCAGAGCAAATGCCACAGAGTTTGGGGGGAGAAATTCATCCAGTCGGAGAAACTTTTGGCTCCCTGTCTGTGCAAATGTTTTCCAAGTGTCCAGACACACTGCAGCCAAAGCTCTGATAGCGGACAGATGTTCCTGATTTTCCATAAGATGTTCTGCACCACTCAGCAACCATAAGAAAAAACAATCATATTTATAACAAACATAGTAAAACTTACAGTGATCCTAAAAGTACCAAATAGAATCTGAAAAAGAAACCATAACCTTTGCTTCCTGCTATTGTGCTGTGAAAGTTTCAAACCACACAAACTCCAGTATGCCCATACAGCAGCAGGTCTATGCTGTGTCATATGAAGGCTGTGGAGGAGGGACACACATCTGTTGCTGTAGCCCGAAAAGGTCTGTGTTATAAGAATCCACCACATTTCTATGAATGAGTCAGGGCCGCTGTCTTTGTTTTGGAGCATTTGCAGCTGTGGGTGCAGAGGAACAAACAGTAAACAGGCAGCACACACAAGACAAACAGTCACCTGCAGATGCACCTAAAACAGATGAATCACAGTCTCCCACACAAAGTGTAAGGCCTATTGTCCAACAAATCTCTGACAAACATTTAAGATACAGTGGCACACAGAAAAGGCTGTTTCTCATTGACTGGCGAGTTAAATTTCATTGTATGGAACATATTTAAAATAGCTCAGACCAACAGTTAAACCACTGTTGGTTCAGCTGATATGTTAACTCATGGGTAAAAAGAGCAACAATACTGTTGAAACTAACCTCACCATAGTTTCCAGTGGAGTCAGTTTAATCTATATAGCCTAAACATTTTCCAAATGATTAAACTTTACAAAAGTGGATCCTGCTAATAGTGTTTGTGGCCATGGTTTAAACTTTAATAATGCACCCTTAGGTGTCCTGTTAAGATAATTCATTTTACATGATCACATAGTAAAACAAAATTGATCATGGGCTCCTATATAGAAGAATAATGGATGAGGTGCAGGTGGGAATTGCCATGAAAGTGTCATTTCTGCTTCAAATACCAGGATACTTTGAAAATAAAGGGGAAATTACTACAGCCACTTTATATTGTATCCTTATTGAACGTTTGTAGTTATTTAGGTTAGTCTGTGGTAACACAACTTGAAACACGACTACTGTCTCCATGGTTACTTGTGGTTTAATAAACCAGCACGTACATTTATTTAAAACTGTTCTTAAACTGTGTTTCATGACGGTAATGGACATCTGCTGTCCACTCTAAAAGGAACATGTCCAATAACAGTGATAACGCACTCCAAATGTGCCGATATAGGAAGTAATGGCTGTATCTAATTAATATTGTTGCAGTTGTTTTTCTTTTAAGATTGAATAAAACAGGCTGGGAACTTCATATGCGGGCTCTCTTTTGCAAACAGATGCACAGACGCACAATCTCACACTCAACGTAAACAGATGCAGCCACAGACGTGCGCCAAATGTACAGTTCAGAGTGTGGGAAAAAGAGGACAGTGTGAAAGCCACCAAACCAGCAGAGCGGAGAGCGGTTTGTAAAGTGTTACAGATGAAATGATGTACGGCTCGACAAACGGAGCAAACGGACCGAGAGAGGCTGAGATGTACCTGGTGTGGGTTCAACATCTTTCTCTCTCTCTCTCTCTCTCTCTCTCTTTCCATCGATCAATCCATCACTTTCACATGCATTCTTTTCTGCCAACCTCTGTTTTTATCTGTCACCACCTTTTCCATCTCTGTTTCTCTCTCTATCACACACACACACACACACACACACACACACACACTCACAGGCACCCAGTTCCCACGGTGGCCGGGGGGGAAGCCGAGCGGCGTGTCAATCTGCGCACAGCGTCACCTCTTTTCACTTGCAAAAAGGAAGTAGCGCAGGGCTTTTGTTATTTGAAGTCCCACAGTCTAGTCATGAAAAACAACTGGAATATATCCGCAGTTTATGATTTAAACAGCCACCTATAATCTCCTCTTCAGAGGTGTTGAGCGGTATGACCGTTTGGGGTTTTTTGTATTTTACTGTCCTTCCCATTTGGTTCGGAGGTAATCACTGTCTGGAGAGAACACACTGAGCTCTCTGAGGAGGTTTATTTTTTTTTTTTTTTAGTTGTGAAAAGTTGCGTCCGCTGTTAATTCCAATGCCTCGCCTGAGCTTTAACCCTTTGGAGAACAAAGCTTTAAACTTATTAAACGGAGCACTCAGTCATCCGTCTCATGGTCATACTGCAGATAAAGTTGGGACACATATAGCTCAGGCAGCACGTAGCTGTAAACCGCACCCCGTCTTTGATGGTGGATATTATTATCAGAACCTTTTCTGACCCCATTTGACATGAAAGGGTGTTCATGATGCCCCTAAAAGACATCCTAATAAACCGTGTTGACTCATGTTTTGTGTTTCAAAATAAATGTTTTTTGCTTAAAAATAATAAAGTAGTTATTTTATTATAGCAGACTTTTTACTTTGAGTGAATATCCTCTCGGATGCTGTTCATTTACACCCTTATCAATGGGACGTGGAGAGGTCTGAGTTCCTGTTGATGTTGATCCAGTGGCTGATCCTTTACAACGTGCTCGATTTCTCAGCAGTTTACTGCTCCGGCAGCACCATGCCTCTGGCCTTTAGTCCGCTTCCTGGGGTCGGCTACGGGAGATCTGATACAGAGCTCACTGTAATATTGCTGCCGGCGGATTGTTTAATATTTCTGCAGCAACATTTGGCTCCCCCCTCGGAAGACCACGCCCCCTCCCTGCAGATTCACAGAGCCCTGATCCCTCCCCCTACCCAAGCCGGCAGCCTATAACCTCCCCGGGTTTCCGCCCATTCCTCCACAGTTGATTCTTTGGGATAGTATTGTCATGCAAATAAAGGACGCGTAAAATATTCCCCCAGAGCGCAGCGCAGGGCAGAGTCTCACACGGACCGCGCGGAGGACACAGACCGGGCCACACGGTGGATTTGTATCGTTTTCGTCGCCACGGACCCGTCCATCTGTCACAGGTAAGTCACAAATGTGCAGTGGATTACATTTCCAGACATGTTAATGCCAAAAAAAGAAAAATCAAGCAGTGTGTCCGTGCGTAAACGTGTGCGCATGGACCCCTCTCTCTCTCCTGGATGTGGCGGAATGTGTGGTCTCCCTCGCAGTCTGTTGGTGAGGAATCGGAATTCATGCGGACCTCTCTTGTCTTTTTTTGTGTATTTCCCAGACATCCTGGCCACATGAGCAGCGACATATAGCCAGGACGTGTAGCCAGGAACCAGGTCGGATCGTTCAAGGAAAAACCTGCGGAGGCTGCCCTGTGGAGATATACATCCACTTTCCCCCAGTGAAGTCGAAGGGTGTCTCTCTTCTCCATCCCCTGCTATAGGCTACCTGCTGCTGCTACAAAGGGGGAACTACATCTAGAGACCCCTGGATCGCTTGAGAGCACATCCCTTTTTATGTTTTAGGGATTTAGGATCTTTTAAATATTAACATTTTTGCACACCACGTGTGTTATCTCCGCTCTTGTCCTTTTTGGGATATATACAGTGCTCCCCCCCCCTTTTTAGTACTTTAAAGTGCCTTATTAACTGGTTATAATCCAGTGTAACTGTGGCATTGTCACCAGACCAGAGACGCTCAACAGGGAGAAGACGATTATTATCAGCTTTAGAGCCCAGGCAGGATTACTGGTTCCCCACCCTCCAGCGAGCTGCAACCATGAGCCAGGCGGATGTGTCGACTTGCTCCGCGCCGCAGAGGGTTTTCCAGGAGGCGGTGAAGAAGGGCAACACCAAGGAGCTGCACTCGTTGCTGCAGAACATGACAAACTGCGAGTTCAACGTCAACTCCTTCGGGCCAGAAGGACAGACGGCCCTCCACCAGTCTGTCATTGATGGAAACCTGGAGCTGGTAAAACTGCTGGTGAAGTTTGGTGCAGATATCCGGCTGGCCAACAGGGAAGGGTGGAGCGCTTTACACATCGCCGCCTTCGGGGGCCACCAAGACATTGTTTTATACCTCATCACCAAGGCCAAGTACTCCTCTGGCGCCCGGTGATCTGTCTCTGCTGTCAGGTAAAATAAGAAAAAAAATAACAAATAACAAAACAACAAGTGGAAAATAAAACTGCAACACACGGGAAAGCCGGGCTCTTGTAAAAGCAAAAAAACAAAAAACAAACAAAAAAACTGCCATTACCTACATAGTTGTGCCAAATTATATAGAAAAGGAAATTAAAAAAAAATAGGCCTGCACAATAATCTTCCCTCATTCTAAACCAAACGGGGCCCTCTGTGCACTCCTGAGTGAAGCACCGCATGGTTCATACACAAGCGCTTCAACACGAATCTTTAACAAAAGAAACGCCATTTCGGTGAGTTTGTTGGTACTAAAGCTTTCCTCTTGAATGTGTATGCTAGATCTTGTCGTCCACTATAAAAGAAGCCAGTGTCTCACATGTGTGTATGTGTATGTGTGTGTGTTTGGACCTCAGAGTGCAGATGGCCCAGTTTTTTTTCTATCCATGACCTCCCATCCCCAGTACAGTTGAATAGTTTCTTTGTGGGTGGCAGCAGATTTGACCTGTTGCTCCACCATTGTTCGCTTGTAAAACCCTTTTTTAAGTTATTTTATATGAAAACACGGCACTTGATGCTATATGGCTGCATGCTGGAATATCTGAAAGGGAAGACACATGAACAAGAGAAGAAGGGTTGCCCTCTGTTGGCTACCAGAGGTCTAATTTCTTTCAAAGTCATTGATTTTTTTATTTTTTTTTTATATTTTTTTTTCTCAAAGAGCAGCATTATGGCTATCCAACACGCTTTCAGAGGTGTAATCATTATGTAACAACAACTGACTCCATCATTGTTGTGAAGTACTGTACACAATAGCTTTACTTTTGTTTCTGTTTAAAAAGAGGAGGAGAGACAGTAGCTGAATGCGCTCTGCAGTTTTTGCCATGCTGGCGTCCAACTTTTTTTTTCAGGCCAGTGCGTCCACTTTGCCAGTGGTCATTGTGTTATTAAAAAAAAACCCCGCTGCTTTCGCTTTGTATCAAAAAAAAAGTCGCATTTGGAAATCACTTTATAATCTCCTTTCAGTATTTTATTAACATCCTGGTCATCACTGTGAAAGCAGGCTGGGTTTTTTTAATTTTTCTTTTTTTTTTTATTTATGAAGGTACATTGAGAAGATGCATTTTTTTTAAAATATGTTGTGGTTCTTCTTTTAAAAAAAAAAAATCTGTAAGTGTAAGAATATCTAGGGGTGACTCAAGCTGCTTCAGACTCGTAGTATAAACTGTCCCGTGTGGAGATAGATCTGCCACCTACCAACCCCCCCCGAATCCCCTCTGTTATAGCCTGTTGACTCTGAAGAGGACTCCCCCCCTCCTCCTCCCTCCTCTCCCCCTCCCATTAAAAGGACTTTGTTTGGTTGCCTTTTGCCAGCTACCTCGACTATAAAGTATTCTCAAGTTGTTCAACTCTCTCACCACTCTGCCACGTTGTGTTTGCAGTCTGAGGAGATTCACAATTTGTCTGTGATCATCCGCATGCCAGTATGTTTTTTTTGCTTTGTAGCCTGTACCTATATAACAGACACGATGGACTTAATACAGAAGATCCAGTGAACCAATTTCCTGCATCCTCAGTCGGGACAGTTTATTCTACACTACAACCAAACCAATTCTGACAAGCAAGGCATCGTTTTGCCTTTTTTCTGCGAGGGAGTCTGTGGTTCTCTCTCTGTCTCTCTCTCTCTGTCTGTCTGTATGTCCGTCTTTCTGTGTCTCTTTCTTTCTCTTACACACACTGCAATTGTTGCATGTTTTCCTATAAACATCCACTTTGCTCTCTTTCTCTCTCTCTCTCTCTTTCCGTCTTTATCAGCCTGTATGGTTGTTTTCTATATTTTTTTCAGTCATACAAAAAATGGAATTTTATCGCATGACTTATAAATGCAGGGAGTTTTATTGCACAAAAATGCGGAGCCTTGTGCGCCCCCAGTGTCTGTACGGGGTAACTGCAGGAGCCAAGGCTTTGGAATAGTTACTACTACTGAGCAGGACCCTATTACTGTTGAACGAAGAAGACTTAAGAAAAAAACAACACATGACTTTTGCAGGATGTCACAGAAAAGGAAGAGAGAAAAAAAGAATTTGGTTTCACAAACTTGCCTGCTGCATTTTGAAAGTCATGGCACCCTAACATTTGTATCAATGCTGCTTGTATGTTTCTTTTTTTTGGTTTTGTTAATGTTGATGTTATTTTTTTTAAAGCCTACTGCTCAAATGGCCAACAGTTGTATAGAAGCTTCACAGCAGCAGGTTCACCTCATGAGAAGCTGTTGAGAGAGAGAAAGCGTGTGTGTGTTTAATTGAAGTGTGTGTGATTGTGTGCTCTCATGAGGCCCCCCACCTGTGTCACTGTGTTAAAACAGTCATCCAGACTGACAACCTCCCATTTTAAACCTGGAACAACCACAAGTAACTGAAGCGATAGATCCACTACATCAAGGTATAGATTGGTATCAGGCAACAAATGAAATATGCATCGCTTGTCTTAAACTTGATGTTTTTTTTCTTGTTTTTTTTGTTTGAATATTGCACTGATGACTGTTGTTGAAAAGTTGGCTTTTATGTGTCAACATTTTAATTTTTTTTCTGAATAGAAAAAAACAAACACAACAAAATACTATTGTATAAATATATGCTCCAGGTGATAATGTCCTAATGTGTGTGTTACTTTGTGGAAAAAACATGATGTTTTTTTTAACAAAGATGCGTGTATCTCTGTGATTGGGTGTATGTATATATACAGTACATATGGATATATATATCGACGCTGATGATGATGATGATGATATCTTGGGGCACTTTCTTTTCTGAAGTGCTGTCTTCCTGTTTTTTTTGAAAGGGGAATAATACATTTGATGGTAAGATCATTGTAACATGATTAAAAATTGCACGGTTGTGTGGTTGTTTGGCTTACCAGGGTCATAACATTTATGACGTAAGGAGCCAGCCGCCGGATTGGTGTACATGAGTGAGATGATTTTTTTAAGAAAAAAAGAAAAAAGTGCTGACTTCTTTGGACCAAGTTGAGTTTCTGGTCTTGCTTCATTTCAAGCAAGGGGAAACAGCTGATTTTTCATGAGTGATGCAGATGTTCCATCATGTTTGATTCGTTTTTGTTTGTATTCTTTTATTTTTGAACGTTTGTAACACTGTGATGATGACGTGATGTCATGTGGAGATGAGTGCTGTATTATTTTTGTACGTTTGTGTACAAGCCAGTAAAGAAATCATTAAACTCAAATTCTCTGTGTATGCATACATTTCTTCCTCATCTCCCGAGCAAGCTGCCCCTCCTCCCTCGCTCCCTCCCTCCCGCCTCTTGCATTTTTCATAGAAAAGGTTGGTTTGGGAAACACACCCCTACCCTCCTCTCTCTCTTCTCCCTCCCCTGTCTTCCAAGCCGGGCCCAACCCAGATCCCCATTCTCTCCTTTTGTCATTCATCTGGCCTCATCCTTTCACTGCCGGGATAAAAGAGCCCAGTGCATTGTGGGTAGGCTCAGTTTAAAGAAGGGTCCCCTCCCCTGTGTGTGTTGTGGGAGAGCTGGTTTTATGTTACCCCCACACACTCAAAAACTTTCCAACACACACTCCTCTCTTGTGCTCTCTAACGACTAAGGCCCAGTCTTTGCACTACAATTCAGCTCTCTGCTAACAACCTGCTTTTGCCTCACTTGAGCATGTCTTTCATTCATCAGCTATATAGGCTTTTAAAAAATTATCTTTGTTCCTTTCATTTTACTAACCCCTTCCCACAAGTTGTGTAACAAAAAGACTCGCTAATTCGCATCAGTTGACGGGAACAAACCATTCATACTTGTTGTTTTTTATGTCTATTTTTGTGATGTTTTTTCTCGGGAAATATGTACTCGGAAGCCTCCTAGCCTCTTCTAATGATGCATGAAATAACCCTGAAAATGGTCGGTTAAACTGTTAACCACTCTCACTTAATTTGGACTGGTCATGAGTCAAAAAGCTGGAACGTGCATACATTTGCAGCCAATAATTGTTAGGAAACACTGTGTTAATGTGTGCATTTTATACTGACCAAATAGTTAAATTTTTCTTTCTTCTTTTTTTTCTTTTTTACCATTTTCTGTGCTGCAGGGTTCAGTTTGACTTCATGTTCTTTTAAAAGACTGTACTGTAGCAATGGTAAAACAAGCACAAGAAACTGTGAGTTACATTTTGGCCACTTCCATGGATTCATTAATCTCAGCACCTTTTTATATGAAATTAAACCTTTGATTGAGTCATGCTCTCCGCATTTCATGCAAATGCTGAGTTGCAACTGATATTGTACGGCTGTGGGAGGGTCGTGGGAAAAGCGACATGACAATACATCTTTCTACATGTCGGACCTGTTTGTGTTGTAACATTCCCTGGGTGTCGACCTGCAGCTAACTGAAAATGTTTGAGCAAAGAGGGTTTCAAATGTGATGAAAGTAACGGTTGTGGTTAGTTTCCGTTTCAGTATGAACCCTGAATTTAAGGGAAAAAAGGGAGTTGTATCTTACATCTGGTCTTCACTGGCAAGTAAAAGTTTGTGCTATTGTTAGAGCAGCCTTGCTTTCTGGGCTGCAGCTGAACCATCTATGACCTCAGCTCAAATGTTCTGCACCGGCCACACCAAGCGCACCAATCTGATGCATTTCTTTGTCCAACTCAACACCAGGAAAGTTAGCTCCTCTAAACACCAGCCCCTCTGTGTTTTGATACCGTGGCAGGCCGAACGGGCTATCTGGCTTGCTGCTCGCTTGTCCTTTCCTCTCTCCCTCCCAGTCTCTCACTTCTGCAGGATGTTTTTGTTGAGCTGGGTTCCCTATTGTTCACACACTGAGTTGGCTGGCCTCCCAGGGCTGCTGCTGGCCGCTAGGCCCCCTAATAGGTTCTTCATGTGCCTTGGCTTTCCTCGCTTGTCTTGGTCTGGCCTTTGCATGGAGTGGCCTGCTTTAGTGAGCCAGGCAACACAAGGCATTTTGGGAGGAATTTTGCAGAGAAAAGTGAGAGAAAATCAGATGAATAATTTGTCTGGGGAAATCGTGTCAAGTCCAAAAAAACTGAAGAGAGTTGCATCAAAATCACTTAATCACCAAAGTAAACAAGCCCCATTGACAAATATAACTAGTTATTGTCCAGTATATGTAGCGTTTTTGTATTTCACAGATAAATTGAGTAAAATATTGTTGATGTTATAGCAGCTGCAATCAAGTGCATCTGTGTGATTATTTTCCATCTCCATTCAAAAGGCCATTGTTCAGGGGCTCATAAAATATTCATATCCATGCTTACACCCCTCATTTGAAGGGTTACACTCAATCTGTAAGACACAAGATTAACTGAACATCTTGTGATACGTGTAAAACGCAATTTAATTGGTTTTGCAACACTGAATTGCTCATTTTGTTCCCGTTCAACTTGTGTACAATGATAGGAGCTTTGATTGTGAGATCCTGTGTATGACTTCCTCAAAGTGCCTCGGTATTGACACAATTGCCGTCTGAGTAAAATTGTAATACAAACGGCTTGTTTGAATGTGATCTGTTTTACATGTAGGATGAGAACACATATGAGGAACCTTTTACCACCAGTGGAGTGGTGACATAAAGCCACATAAAGAGGAACTTAGAGAAGTGTTTAACTATTGTTCTCTTGAATTAGGCAATGTAATAGTTTGTGATTTTACTTCACATGACATTTGGCCTCCACATGACACCTGTGATACTGTTTAAATAACTTAAGGTTAGAAAAGGTAAACCACCATTTTTCTCTCAAGACAATGGAAAGTACTTAGAAGACCCTATCTAGCCCTGTGACAAGATTTTCTATTTGCCACTTTAATATACCAGACTCAGTGTCAGCTATTAGAGCTAGTTAGCTTTCGGTGTTTTCCTTGAAGGACACTTGGGCAATAACTATAACCATGGCAGCTCAAAGTCACTTTATCTAAACTGGATATCTTTCAAATCATGACATCTCCCAAAATGTGTCTTAGATTCTACTTGGGATTAAAGCCACACGTGCTTTCCCTTACATTACAGTTTCCCTCACTCTCCTGTCTCCTGTTTTGTTCCACCTATTAGGGCCAACTTCCACCTGACTAGAGGCCTGATCAGTCAGAGTAATTGAAAATACCTGTGTGGGTGTGAAGGGCCTTTATATATGTTTAATATGGCACAGAGGGAAAGCAGTCCTGGCATGTACTTAGTGCTCATGGCTGCAACTGGAAATTTTCCTCAACGCACACACCTGTCTGCCTGAGGCCTCGTTCATAAAGATGTTCTTAGACTTTGCATGTGCTCGACTTTTTTATAGGATGATATCAAACAAAGAAACTTTGCTAAATCATAAAATATTCACCCTTTTATTTTTTTAAGTAATTTTGGTAGTTAAATCAATTTTATATTAAAAACTATTTCAAGTTTTAACTGCATGGTTGACAACAATTATGTTATTTTACAGACCTGTTATTATTTTTAGTCACAGAATTCTTTAATTTACCAACTTAATGTTATATATTGGAATAGAGCCAAAGTTAAACCTCCTGTATTTACTGATTTTTGATTTTAAGAAACAACACTTTTATACTATCGCTTTATAAAGTTGATATAGTAAACTTGTTTGCACATCCAGCAGCAACATTGGCATTCATATGAAGTTGTGTTTGTGTATACCTGATGAAACTGTAAACTGTAAATCCAAATTCATTCTCCTTTCCGTTCTCAACTCCTGGGGTAAACATCTGTTTCTTGGATATGCTAAATGCTCCACTATGTTCACCAGATAGTTGCTAACTGTGTCTGTCTGCTGTTGGATGCTAGACAGGTAGCATACAAGTGGTGTAAAACAGTAAAGTTGGATGCTGTAAAACCAAAACAATGAGTAAAAAGATGGTAAAATGCGCTTTGAAGCTGAGGGGAACTACAGACTTGAGTGATAATTGTCACTACATGCAACTCCTTCACATTACACATGGTCATTTGATCGATTATTAATAGTAAAATATTTATTATAGCTGTTTTAAAGTTGGTGGTAACACACAAACCTTCATTTTGATATTACATATAACAAATTGACATTCTTTGTGTATCTGCTCATCATAGTTCAGCTGGTTCTTATGAATTTTAAATGAAAATTACATGACATGATGTCAGCATTGTCACTGGCTGTTGCATGAACATAACTGCCAAAAGTTCAAAGAATTTATACATAAAATTAGTCTATATGTAAACCTTGCTGAACAGCAGCCACTGTTGCCACAAAGGTCAGTTACAGGATAATGGCACAGTGAATTGCACTTCCAAAAACCATTGAGTCAGTGGATATCATCTTTAGATGTGCTGACTGAGAGTAAATGGAAAAAGTGTTAAAAGACTCTATAAAGTCCACAAACTGACTCAGTATTGTCCTGTTTAGTTGTTGCAACAACTATTCTTCCTGGTGTCCATAATCACATCCCTGAGGGATCCCATTTCCTAACGTATCAGCACATTTCTGTCCATTCATCCAGTATGGTATCCTTTTTTTTCAGTCTTGCACTGTGTTTGTTACTTTTTTTGTTTGCAGTAATTTCACAGACTGGAGCATCAAAATCATCATCATACCACAGCAGTGAAATCAGCACAGAGTCAGTGATGCTGGTGGATGACAGTGAGCTTTAAATCCTGCTGATACAACACTTTCTCTCCAAAAACAAAAACATGTCTGTCGCTAAACACGACCAAGTGAACACCCCCTCCCCAAAGTCTGCCTGCGAGTAAGAAGGGGAGTAAAAGAAATAAAGTGAGTGAGAGAGAGAGAGAGAGAGAGAGAGAGAGAGAGAGAGACAGGTGGTCGGGCCGGTCTTTTCCTTGCCCTCCGCTCCTTTTTGAACTTTTCTTTCATTCTTCCAGTTCATTCTGGGCTTCTTTCCATAGCGCTAGTGACAAGGCGCTCCATTCACTGCCTCATTCTTCCACCCCTCCCTCCTCCCTCCATCTCCCTCACACACCCCGACCCCATCCCCTCCCTCCCGGCTCCTTTGTCTAGCTTGCGGGGGCCTGCTTTAGTTGCTATTCACCAGCCAGACGGACCGCCATTGACTGGACCCCCCTCTATCCTCCCCCTTAACATCCCTCCCTCCGACAAACACCCTCACACACACATATGCACACAGCAACCTGGCCATTCCCCACCCTACGCCATGTATCAGGCAGCTGCTATGCTAATGGGGAGGAAGGGATGGATGGAGGGAAGGAGGGAG